TTATTATTTTAAAAGCCTACAGCACCTGGTCTTCCTACGTGGTCTCCCTTCCAAGTACTAACCAGGCCCGACCCTGCTTAGCTTCCGAGATCAGACGAGATCATGCACGTTCAGGGTGGCATGGCCGTAGACTAGAACTGAGCTATTTAAAAAATTCACCAAGGTAGCATCATTTCTCTAAAACTAATAAGGGGACTCTCCATGTCGTTACTTATTACTCTTGTTTTACAGTAGAGACAAAGTCCCCACTCACCCTTGGAATTTTCTGAGACTTTCTGAGGAAGGTTTGTGAACGGAGAATTTCTTAGACATTTTGAGACAGTCTGCCTGGGAATTTCCTTATGTGGTTTCTTCATATTCATAACAAAGTGGTAAATGATAAAACTCTAGGTAATCGAAAGAGTTAAGAGGACTTTGGTGTCGGTCCCATGAGAGGAACAGATGGAACGCACGTAGGTGGGAAGCTGTCATTAAATAGGAGGGCTGATGGTGCATGGAAAGGCATGGCTTTTTCAGGTAGCTCTGGACTGAACATTTTGGGGACTAGATCGTATTTTGCTAGTGGACACAGTGGAAGCCGAAACATATGGTCAGGAAGGGAGTTAACAAACCTCCGACAAAGAGGAAGAATGTGGCAGCTGAGATAACCAAGGAGAGAGATGACAAGTGCAGAAAACAGTTTTAAGGCACCTAAAGACCTTAGCAACTAAAAACCACAGGTAATAAGGAAATTCATTCGGAACTATTGATATCGTTACCTTGGTTTGGGAAGTGTTTATGTGTGAATGGGGAAGAGAAATAGAGGAAGCCACGCGAAATGACCGCCTTGGGCTTTCACCAATAGGCGTATGAGTAAAATGAGTCAAGGAAGTGAAAACGAGGTTAAGCCTTCAAGTCAGAGAGCCAGAGATGGTAAAAAAACCAATAGCGAGATGTTATCGGCGATCCCATGGAAAGTGGGACCAGCTACCCCCGGCGTGTCTTTTTAATGTTTACCTTCGAATGTTTCTATGGTTTTTCTCTCCTCTCCCCCCGGCTTTAAAAAATGGTTAGGTTCGGTAAAACAAAACAAAAAACAAACAAACAAAAAGTTGCCTTGGTTATGTTGGAACGAGGCCCTTTTCCTGCTGCGTTTTTGGCTCACTGTGGTCAGCTTGCCAAGTTACCTACAAGCCAAGCCATCTCTTCATCTGGCAGTGGGTAGCTTTTGCCTCATGAAGAGCGCAGATTGTCTTAGAGATTCGTGAGGTTATGTTTAGCTAGGCACCTCCAAAATGCTAGATGATTGTTATCAGCCTAACAATCTCTGGTATTTGCGGATGACTTTAGAGTTTGCAGACATTTTTGTTTGAGCTTTAAAATAAATTCTGTAGCGTGTCAACAGTCGTTCCTTTGTTAGAGGCATGTCATAAACCAAAATATGAATTAGAAGAGGGAGACAAATTTATGAATTTTATGATTCTTTAGGAGAAAAGCAATGCAGTAAAATTCAAAATAGCGCACACACAAAAAAGCCATAAAAAACGCAAAGAGGGCGCCATGCTTACCGCTTCTTAAAGTATATACTAAAAATAAATGTAGTGGACTTTAAGAAAGGTCCGTTTCGATCAGTGATTCATATGCCTTTTTAGTTTATGAACCCCGTTGAGAATTGGATTTTTTTGTGTGTGTAAAGTATGGATTCCTCTGTCCCCTCTTCAAAAAAAAAAATACAAACAAGTTTCTACAAGGATCATCCAGGAAACATAAATATGCAAATCGAGCCAAGTGCAGGCGATAAAGAATGGTGGCACTTGCATCAAACTGGAAAGTAGTGCCAAGTTAAGACAACAGAGAATGGTGAGGTTCGCCACCCATTCGGATGCACATCCAAGTAAATTCAAATTCTAAACCATGTTTGAAAAATAGCACCTGCTACATACAACGCATTCGCGGCCGATTTGACCCCAGCCTCTCCAGTTTGCAACTCTAGGCTTCTCGTTATTCTCTGGAGACATGGGGCTATTCTCATTGTTTGCCCTCAGGCACGACAACAAGCTCAAATTCGTCACCAAATGGCAGAGGATAGCAAAGCAGATTACTCATCGATTCTTCAGAAATTCAACCAGCAGCAACGCGAGTATTACCACAGTCACATTCCCAGCATATTTCAGGTAAGCGATTCACCTTTCTCAGGTTTGCCTTTCTTAGAAACACGTGGCTTCGGAGTCATCATCGCTGGGCCTGCGGATTATTTAGAGAACCCTAGATCTCCTGTAACTCAAATCCTTTTGAAAAGCATTCGGCTCAAGCATCGACTAGCAATGAGCTGAAATACAGTATCAATCTTGAGATTAACCAGTAGCCTTTGCAAACTTCCTTGGTTTGTACTTGTAGTCTCAGAAGTGCGATTCTTAGATTACACTCTTGGCTAAAAGGACCATTCTAGTTACAGACAACAACAACAACAACAACGAAAAAAAAACCTAACATGAAGAATCCAAACAGCATTCATCGTTGTAGGATTTGAGCAGATGACAGTTCTTTCCTTTGAATTGGTTTTCTTTTGGCTCCTTTAGGTTGACAGAAATAGTATGTGAAAAGATATATACACGTTCTCTTACTTTGGGGACCTTTTACAACTTCAAGTCCAGTTGTAGGAAAAAATAATAAATATTTGCTTGTAGTGTCTATACACAAGCAAACAAAAACCTCCAGCTTGTAGAAGGGAGGTACGTCACTTACATCCCAGCCTGGGTTGGGTCAAGACAGCTAACCAAATACGATGCTTTTGATAAAGGATAAAGTCATGGCTCAAAGATGGGGGAAATGTTTGAAATCTGATACCAAGTGGTAGTAATAACGAAGATACCTGGGTTTGGAGTTCTTACCGAAATTGAAATAGAATTGTGTAAAGTCTACATGTGGGCAACCTAACAATTCATAAAACACATGTACAGCTGGCTAAGGCAGAGGCACAAGAAGCTTCAGGTGCTGGAACCCTAACTCTTTTGATAGGCACGTTTCCCTCCTGGACCATTCCTTAGAGTTAACGATGCTGCTGAAAAACAAGGTCCTTAAACAACCGTGGACCAAATTAATTTTACGCAAAATCTAACGTTACAGAAAATACAGGAGATGGAGGAAAGGAGGATAGTGAGAATCGGAGAATCGATGAAGACGTACGCAGAGGTCGACCGTCAGGTGATTCCAATCATTGGGAAATGCTTGGATGGAATAGTAAAGGCAGCTGAGTCGATCGATCAGAAAAATGTAAGTATCGTGGTTGGGACTCGATTTCCAACTATTTGCGGCCCCATTATTTCTCCACCCTCTAACGTGGTGACCTCGTTCTGTCTTCTTGTGATAGGGCGTTGCTTTCGGGAATCAGGAGTGCTTTTCAATTGTAGCTGCTTCTCTGCTGTCAAGTTTTCCCATCTTATGAGCGCCCGTTCCATTTTGTTATCGGTGTTGATTCGCCTGTTCTGTACGTCTTTGCCCCTTCACTTTGGTCAAAGGCTCGTGGTGGTCACACGTGCCCGGCTCATAGAAGGAAATCAATAAATAGTCTTAGTGAGGCCTTCTCTGATCACCCTGTTGAAGATTTCAGTTGTCACCAGCAAATTACTGTGAGGAGGGGTCTTTTCAAGGTAAATAGTAAGGGTGGGGTTTATGGGCTGAGCCTTCAAAAACGTGGTCACCTCTGTGTGAGCCTTGACTCTGTTCGCTTCGTTGACTTCTGGCTCTAATTAAAATCCGAAGCGAGGCCGATTCTTGTATTCGAAGCTTGGAAATTTCTTTCTCCTTGAAATTTGACAGTTTCACAAGATTATAACCGAAAAATGGTTTCCCTTTTATCAGTTATATCTGGGAAACTGAGTTCTCTAGGTTTGCAGGCTGTTTCTCCTGTTATGGGGGCCTCGTCCTCTGTTAATATTACCGATAATTGTTTTACGCCCATGACCTTTATGTTGCTAAATTCAAGGTCTCTTCTGAGTCTTCATTCAAGTTCTTATTGAAATTCCTCCTGAACTGTTAGCAGCAGCCTCGTTCCCCACCCCGATCTGATCCGCTCCACACAATCCTCAGGACACCACACTGATGGCTTTTATTCTCCTCACTGGTCTCGGTCTCCTCTGCTTGTTTGTCTTCTTACTGAACTTTGGTGTCCTCCAGGGCTTTGACCTTGGACCTCTTAACTTTCACATCCCTGTTTTGAGTGATCCGTAGATTCTTGGAGCATCAAGGCTCACCTCAGTCCTGAGGTAGTTCACAGGTCCAGCTTGGGGCCTCTCCCCAGCACTGCGGGGCTGTGTTTTCAGCCGCTGAGTGGCTTCTTCACCTGGACATCTAACAGGTACCTCGAACTTAGCACATCCCGGAGCTGCGGGCTTTTCTCGCCAGACCCGCTCGTCTCCGCTGTCTCAGCTTACTGGCGCTGCCATCCTTCTGGGATCTGGGAGTCCAACTTGACTCTTCCTTTTTTTCTCATGCCCATATCACTTTTTTTTTTTTAGGCGAGCCAACCCTTGGTTGACCTCACAGATTGCAAGGACCTTGTCAGCTTACAATCCCTTATTATTATTATTATTATTATTATTATTATTATTATTACACCTCACCTGGTCTTCCTAGGTGGTCTCCCATCCAAGTACTAACCAGACCCGACCCTGCTTAGCTTCCGAGATCAGACGGGATCAGGCACGTTCAGGGCGGCGTGGCCATAGACATGGCCGTGTCACTTTTATCGGCCAATCCTGTTGGCTTCACCTTCAGAATACATTCAGAACCAAAGTCTTCCCCAGCCCTAGTTACGCTCCTGATTTACGATCGCCTTCATCTTAGATTATGCAGGAGGGGCCTCATTACTGCAGGAGACATCTAACTAGTCTCCCAACATTGCTCCCACCCTCAATCCATTCTTCACAAGGAGAGCAGAGGAACCCGCTTACCGTGAGTCAGATCGCGTGCCTCCCCTGCTCAGAACCCTCCACGGGCCTCCGCCTCCCTCAGGGGAAAAGTCAAAGCCAGCCGGGGCCTCCAAGCCCTTAACTGTCCGGAACATCCCGCTTCCATTTGTCTGTCTGACATCACCCGTGTTCAGTTTTCAAAGCTCTAGCCGCAATGGCGCCCTTGGTATTCCTTGAGAATTCCAAGCATGCGCCTACCTTGCTCTTCCTTCTGCCTGGAATATTCTGCCATAGATAGCTGCTTGGTTCACTCTCTCGCCTCCTTCGGGTCTTAACTTGAACGAATGAGTGAATGAGTGAATGAATGAATCACTTCGCTCTGTCTTTGAGAATTCGAAGGTCGGACCTTTCTTAATTCACCTAGGCCATCTCTCCTTGCAGATACCCTTCCTCTTCCAAACCTCCCTGCACTGGTTTTGATTTTTTTTTCCCCCCCAAGTTTTTCTTCATTTGTAGATGCGGCTCTTGGTGGTTCATTATGGTCTCGCTGCTTTGATCTTAAGGATTTTTATTGTAGTTTTTCTTTCATCGTGCCCTCTTTTATTTCTGCCTATTCATGTTTAATTTCTGTTATATCCTTTTTAAAATTTGTCGTTTTGAGGAAAGTCGATGGTGTTTTTAGAAAACACAGAGAGGTTATGGCCTTTTTCTTTCATCGTGCCCTCTTTTATTTCTGCCTATTTATGTTTGATTTCTGTTATATCCTTTTTAAAATTTTTCGTTTTGAGGAAAGTCAATGGCGTTTTTAGAAAATTGTTCACAGAACATTTATCAAACACCTGCTTCATTCCACGCCTGTGGTCCCCTCCACGACCCACTGAGGAAAACTAAACTCAGAGAGGTTATGGCCTTGCTCGGGGCCACGTGGTGACTGTCCGCCTGGCTCCAAAGCCCCTAAGCCCTACTGCCATGTTGTTTTTTTTATTTCTAGAACAAGCACAGTTTCTGGCACACGTTTGAATGTACGTGCCCATTTACAAGTGCCAGGCACGGTTCTGAAGAGAGACAGTAACGAAACAAATGAGAATGTTATTTAGAGTTTCGGAAAAAATAAAGTCAAAAAGAGTGAGAGGGAGTACTTGGTTGGGCTTGGGGTAATATTATACCAAGAAGTTTCATTTAAGCAAAGACTCGAATGAGGCGATTCAGTAATATTTAAATGGGATAGCTCCTACCTCTGTTACCCGCTCCTCCAACTAACTGGACGTCCCCTCTGCCCCTTAATGCAGTTTTTAAAACACCTGATTACTTTCAAGTCAAACTGGTTTATTTATGAAAGGTTACTTTCCATTTATACCAAGTGATCATATTTTCACCAGACTAGATGAAGGCCATTGGCACGCTCAGGATTGTGGGAGTGAATCTCCTGGCGTAGGTTTAGCTTCATATAAAAAAAATGATCGTGTCTTCCACGTGGAGGTTTATTTTTCCTCTCATGTGAAAGATGTCACCGGCAGAGGGTCCAGCCACAGTGTGGGCCTCACGGACCTAGGCTCCTCCCAGACCACAGCTCTCGATGCGACCTTCCAACTCAGTATGGCTTCTGGAGCTCCAGCCATCACATCCGAGTTCCAGAAAGCAGAATAGGGGAAGGGCTTGTGTTGTCCCTTTAAAGAGGCTTTCTAAGATTGCACACTAGACTTCTTCCTACATCTCAGAGATCTCGGGGGTCGAACTTAGTCAGGTGGCCGCCTCCTGCCGCACAGAAGACTGGTTAGTGACACCTTTCAGCTAGGTGGCAATGCGCCCAACTTAAAATCAGGGTTCTTGTTACTAAGAAGGAAGAGGAATTGGCTATTGGAAGACAGTGGGCAGTCTGTGACACACCTACAAATTCTTAGCTAAAAATGTAGCCAATTAAAATGGGGGCTCAGGTTAAGAAGTCGAAATCTTTCCATATTATCTTCTCCTTCGGTCGATCGTTGAGTTAGAACGTTATCACGAAGCACGAGTGTTTATACTGCTTGATCTCTTTATCAAGGACACGATGGTTGTAGTTTCCTCCCACATTTGTCTCCACCACCCGACTCTGAGATGTCGGACCCGCCATTCCTGGCAGAGTGTACACAATGGAGTCAGTCATTCGCTGATTTACTCAGCACGTTCATTGCATGCTGTCGTTGCCGGAGGCGATCTGGGGACCAGGGATACGGTAGAGGGAAAACAAGAGCACTCACATCCTGGTGGAGGAGAGACCATGAACAAACACACACGTAAAGGAAAATTAGGCGATAAATTAATATCTTTGAATCACAGTGAACCAAGAAATTAGAGAGGTTAGCTACCCTTTGCTTCGTGTGTGTTAAATCGCTGTAAGGACTTCTGATGGGAACCAGGTTTTTATATTACTGTTTTTCAGAGGAATTGCTTAATAATGGCCCCATTTTCCTAAAAGCAAAGTTGTTCTTAATTGACACTTGTTTCTCCAAATGTAGAGATATGGTTATTGAAAGTATCTTCAAATCTCAACTAGACATATAGTTTTACATATTATACTTCTTTCTAACGATTAGACTGTTACTGGGGGGAAAATCTATTATCAATCAATGTAACTTCCTTGGAATAATATCTGTATTCAGCGAACGCGATTCATTGCGTAGAAAGCGTTTACATGTATTTGAATGTATCTGTGTGCACTGGGTGTAATTTCAGGATTCACAACTGGTGATAGAAGCTTATAAGTCAGGGTTCGAGCCTCCTGGAGACTTCGAATTTGAGGATTACACTCAGCCGATGAAACGCACAGTGTCCGACAACAGCCTTTCAAACTCCAGAGGAGATGGCAAAGCCGAGCTCAAATTTGGTGGCAAATCCAAAGGAAAGTTATGGCCGTTCATCAAAAAAAATAAGGTACTGACAGTTGGTACTTTATGAGTTTCATAAAGTGTAGAGATTTTGACTTTATCTTTCAGTCTCAAAAAGATTGTAAACCTGTAGTTTCAGAATGCAAAAAAGAAAAAAGAACTCGTGTGCTATTTTATGATAAGACTGCATTTCTCTTTGGTGGCGGTACCTTTGCCATGGCCATTTGTCTGATTCCAGATGCATTATCACTGTCCCATGTCGCCCACACTAACAGATTACTGACTGCTGGGCCGTTTCCCATCATGCCTTTCACCCCTAAGCCCCCTAAACTGCTGGTTGGTTGCCTCGGCGGGGAGAAGCATAGTGCACAAAAGCTCTGTAACAACTTATCAGCCTATCTAATCGAAATGGTTTCCGTGGGTTAATAACTCGGTTTGTTTTGAATTCATGTTAACATGTGGATCCATGAACATTTTTCGTTTTCTTTTTAGAGTGTGATACATGGGTGCATGATGGCGTTAACCTGGGCATAAAATATGATCAAGGCAACATGACTGCTTTACCCATAGAATAATTTAACATTTAATTTTGTAAGACTGTCTTGCTGTTTCCACAACCTGAGCATTGCAGGTCTTTCATTTTCTCCCATCAAGCTGTGTTAGTTTAGGCGGTTTCAAAACATTCACCCTCCTGCCTTACACTGGTTGAGAGTAACTGATTTAGAACGATAATTTGCATGTGAAAGTCTGCATGAGCCGCTTGTCGAATATTTCTTGCTATCTTTCCGTCGCATTACTTACTAAAACTTCCACTTTCATCATGTTCTTTATTTGACATGTTCTCCATGTTTTCTGTTGGACCATGGCCTAAATATTTAATTGTTTGTGTTTTACTTGCTTTGGATTTCAAATATGATTTGATGCTTATTTTTGTTTTGTATCTTCTTGTTTCTGATTTTTACTGTCACTGCTCCATCTCTTACACGTAGCTTATGTCCCTTTTAACATCCCCCCATCAGCCTCCCCCTCCTCCCCCTGCCTCTGCCTCACCCTCTGCTGTTCCCAACGGCCCCCAGTCTCCCAAGCAGCAAAAGGAACCCCTCTCCCATCGCTTCAACGAGTTCATGACCTCCAAACCCAAAATCCACTGCTTCAGGAGCCTAAAGCGAGGGGTAAGTTCTGCTCCGGATCCTCTCTCTCTCTCTCTCTCTCTCTCACTCTCGTGCGCTTGGTTGCATGTTTCGTTCTGCATAACTTATTTTGTTTGTGAATGAATCCATTGTGTTTTCCCATAACACGAAACAATGAGAACCTATGATTCATGGTACATAGTTAGAAAGAGGGACAGAAAGAAGAAGAAGAAGAAGAAGGAAGGAAGCAGAATGGATAGAAGGAGAGAGAGAGAAAGCCAGCCAGCCCAGAGGACATTTCAGAAGGACTTTTCCCCATGTCCCTTTTAAAACATCTAAGTCATTAATATTTCACCTCGATTTTACCAAAAAAAGGAAACTTAGATTCAGTTTCTAAAGTTAGCGTATGACATGGAGAATTGGAAGTCACTGTATAGTCAGAAAATACTCGCTCAGTAATTACTGAAATGAGGTGTGATCTGAAGACACCTCTCTCGAACTCCCTCAGGGTTCATAGGAGAAATGGGTTACAGTGGCTTCTTTTTTAGCTATTCTGGTGAACTTGTAAGATGTTGATAAAAATTCTGATAAAACATCTCACTGGGAAAGGCCTAATGCGGTGTTTATCTTTAAAGAGCGAAGTAATAATAGCAACGGACATCTACTGAGTGCTCATTATACGCCAGCCCCTTCTATGTGCTCACTTACTTTTTTTAGCCATCCTAAGGTCCTAAGGTACCGAGGTACTAAGATTTCTTATTTTTCCAATAAGGAAACCGAAGCATCAAAAGATGAAGTTAGGAAGACAGAGAGCCAGGCGTTAAAGCCAGGGGCCACGTTCGTAGTCTGAGATCTTACAACTCCCACGTTGAGGGTGACTCTCTTATAATATGGTTATATTTATATTATAATATAATATTTAGACTCAGGTGGGCCATTCCAATTCAGACTGCACGTGCTCCAGTCACAGAGGTTTATGAAATTCATCCAGCAACCCAAAGTAGAACAGCAGTTTGAAAAAACATTGGAATAAAGTAATATGTAGCGTCCTGAATAAATCAAAATTGCCGGTCCAGCCTAAGCTGTCCCAAAATATGCTTTATGATGGATGATGAAGTGTAACTGTCAGGAGTGAACGAACATTTAGCGCCTTAGCATATCCAGTAAGGGCTTCTCATTTCCCATCTTGTGGGCTAAGTTGTTCTCATTTAAAATAAGGGACAGAATCCCCCATTATTTTATATGCAGTGTTCCTTTAATAAGGGAATCTGCAAGTTTTATGCAAAGAATACGGTTGGTGGAACTGTCTTGTTTTAAGTTTACCCGGCGTATGAGGTGAAGGCTCAGAAATTTTGTTTCTTAAGGATTTCAAGACGGCCATTGTTAAAAGTCGGAGATAGCTTCAGAAGTGGGCGGATGATGGATCGCGTTGAACTTTATCGTTAGATCTTGGTTATGCTGGCCTTTAGAACTCCCCGCCCATCTCCACTTGTTCATTGAAGAATTTCCAGCGGATAACCAGGGCGTTTTTGCCGGGCCATAAAGTTTTACACCAACTGTAAATCCGTTGACCCATCTCTGCCACTTCCAAAACCTTTAAGGAGCACTCATTTATTATGTTTCTAATAAATACCCCTGCATTGTCTTGTGGAACCTCGTGATGAGGGGTGCTGACCATTCGTGGTTGTTTACCATTTGTCTCGATGGCCCATTCCTCCCTCAGCATCATACAGTCTGTTGGTTGCGAGTGGTTTCTGAATCTGTTTCATGGTGTTCTCTAACTGTTTAGGAAAACACCAAAGAATGTCAGTAATCAATAAGTAAGAAAAAGATGGCAAGAAAAAATACATAACGCTTAAAAACAAACAAACAAACAAACAAAAACGGTGAAATGAGAAACTGGGTATTTTGATGACTTAAAGTCACTCTCCTTTTTTTTTCACCATAGCACAATGAATTTTATTTCTAACTCCTCAAATGTATGCTCAGCAAACCTCTGTTAAAAACTTTTTTCTAAATGGTGAGCGTGTTTTCTTTTGCACGCACGCACACACTAAAAACATTAGTGAATAAATAGAAACATATTTTCGTTTCTCTTATGTTAGTCAGAGTCAGATTTGATGTCCCTTCAGAAAGTAGCAGTTCAAAAAAGAAGAAGAAAAAGAAAAAGGAGAAAAAAGAAAAAGGAAATACATCACAGAAGTAAGATCAGGAAGTTCAAAACAAAAAACATCTGAAGTTTGGGGAAATAAATTTGATTTTAAAGCAATTTCAGAACGGAAGGTACATGGTTTACCAGATCTATGACTAAAATGATACAGTTCTTGCTAGTGTTTTGTTTATTCTGCTTTTTAACTTTAAGATTATTATTCCAAAGACAGGAAAAGTATCCTAGAAAAATAACAAATCTGTGATTTTAATGTCTTTTAATTTATGTTTGCAGCTTTTAGATCTAGATTTAAAATATGTCTTTCTGTTATCAGAATGTATAAATCTTGTGCAAATATTTCTTAGCTGATTTTTTTCTAAATAATTAAACAGGATAAAATAGTTTTTGTTGTAGATCATTGACATTTGTAAGAAAATTTCTTTCATCAAATATCTTTAAAGATCGGTATGCCATTTGAGCATTATAAACCATTATTTCATCTTTACACTAGATAGTGTATTCTCAATTTGCAATCTATAACGTATAATTTTATTGTCTTAAATTCAGATTTTTTTTTTCTAGTCTGAGCAAGGGACTTCTAAATCTAAAATACAGACATATTTGCCCCAATGTGTTAGAGTTAATTGTGTGAGAAAATGCCATCAAAGTTGACCAAAAGATTTTGAAAATCCTTACCAATTGTTTGTCAGATGTTACAGTCTTATGATTAATTTTATTCATTGTATCTTGTTCTCTTGCTGATTATTGGCAGACTCAGTCTTTCTGTTTTCACAAAGAACTCATGAAGAGGACGATAGGGAAACCCACGTATGCTTTTGAAGCTAGGGACTATGTTGTAAGTTTACCTGTGACGGCCAGGTCATACAGTCACGGCACAGGCACTAACCCCATTGACATCACCAAGACTGGGGACCAGATGTGCTCTGTTATGTTTCCATCCGATAAATGAAATTCTCAGTTGAGAGACCCGGACACCCCAAAACAAGCCTAGTTGTATAAATTCAACCACAGGCGCCTTCACCCGGAAAGCTCCAATCGAAAAAGGAATCAAATTTCCCGATCACAATCAAACTTCCTAAAAATGTCAGTAAGCGGAGCTTGCCTTGTTCCCTTTTCATTGATGGTGACTGCCATCTGAGAAGATGTCACCAGGTAGGATTTTATGGCAGAATTTCACCCATAAAACGTGGCCGCAGAGCATGGTCACAGGAGCATGACGCTCTTACAGACGGCAGTGGTGTAGTGTGGTCATCCACATCCACGCTTGTGACAGATGGATCCCTAAGGGAGTTATGCCATAAAGTCTGCCAAAAAAAAAAAAAAAACCTCCGTGACGTATGAGCAAGGTCATAGCGAAGTACAATGACTTTCTGCAACCTCAAACGCATTGCTGACATGTTTACTTTCATCGTCCCCTTTCTTTGTACTTGAGGTTAGTACCTGTGACTGCCCAATGACACATGGACTCACTAGCTCTGTGTTCCCTCATGTGTTATTGACACCTGTGGCTCCCAAGGTTCCATAATTGTCGCCTGAAACTGACAGCTTTTTAGTGCTTCAGGTGTCTCACAGGGCACCTGATGCAGCCTTTAAAATATCCTCCTGCCAGACGATTCCGTTTCTCATTGTAAATGATCTAACTGGCTGGCTTACAACTAAAGAGCAAGAACCAGTTCGGAATTGTTACAAGGAACATCGTGGACGGTGATGGTGCTGCTTGCGGGTTATCCATCACTGTCCACTGCAGAAAATGGAATTCGTCTGAGAATTTGGTGCGTCCTATTTCTATTGGGATTTAATCTCCATCCCAATGACTTATTATTATGAAATAGTAATATCCGTAGGCTATTCATTTTCATGTTTTTTTTTTTGAATGCTTAAGAGACAGTATGTAACTTTAACTAGCGGAAGTAGCCGATAGCAGATAGTGTACCGAGTTCAAATCTCGGTTCTTCGAATTAGCAACGTTTAGACACTAATGGGTGAGAAGGCGTTTGAATATGGCGGTGCGCTTTGTAGGGAAGGTATTTTGCAAAGTCGTCTGCTATGCACCATAAGTGTTGTCTGTAATGAACTCCAGTTGCGGTGACTAGATCTGTGCTGGGGTTCACAGGGGGTGCTCGAAGTGTTCACGTAGACAGGCTGCCCACAGAAGGACGGTCACAACTGTGACCGACTGTACCTTTCCCCCCAAAAAAGTTTTGTCTTGCTACTTTCCTTAAAATGCTCCTTTTTTTCATAGAGACGATTTCTTCACAGGCGAATGCCTGTTTACAAAGAAGGGTCAACTATGAGTTAGCCTTAAAGACCAGATTTTCTGGACACCCTCCCTCCCCCCAATTTATGATCAAAGGGCAGCAAGTCTCCCCTAGGAATGAAGAGCCAAATGTTTCTTTTCCTAATTTTGAGATGCTTCCTTAAGGCCCAGCGAGGAGGAGCCCTTGGCAGCTGAGACAGCTGTTTCCCCAAGCTGACTCTGGAGAGCAGCTCTCCCTGGTAGGCTCCCCATTACCTTCCAACCCCTATAAGCGGGGCTCGGAGCCCATGGAAGGCTTCTGAAGACCCCTTCTGCAGAGCAGGTGGGCGACAGCCTCGTCCTCCTGCATCCAGCTGGCTCTGAGGGGCTTTCTGGCTCCCGGAGGTCATTTCTCAGAATGCCATCCAGGCCTTGGTTACCCAGTCACCAGGCTGAGAGTTTGCCTTCATGCCTTTAAGAAATGCCCATTTTTGCCTTTATTAGATTTCCTTTGCAGAAAAAATATGACTCGTACGTCGTGGAAGCAATCGCTTTGCAGACTCTTTCAGTCTGCGTTAAACTCTCCGTGGCAGATTTGGTGAACAAAAGGCTACGTGGTTATTTTTGTCCCTTATCATCATTCTACGTCACCGACCACGAAGTCATTTTAGTTTATACCCAGGCCGATGGGACCACGTCCAGGCCCATAAACAGAAACTCTCCTCTGTCTTTTCCTCTTTGCTCTGGCAACATGGCAGCTAAAGAAAGGATTTGGTGGAGACCGGCCCCTCTCGTGAACTTTCGCACAGATCCGCCTCAAGTCATTTCCACAAAGCGACAGGTGGATTTGTGTGTCCGTCACCGCGGGGGAACTGACCGAGTCCCGCTTCTTCTGATGTGTTGTTTCTCTCTCTCTCTCTCTCTCTTTCCCGTCACCCCCTTCAATTTTTCCACGAAGCTTTCTCTCAAGCTGGTAAGCACAATGATTCCATGCATGTCCTGAATCTAATGAGGTTCTTTGGTGTGTGTCGTGTGGGTCCCATGCCATGCGCAGCCTGTCTTCAAAGTTAACTGTAGACTCGTGTCTCTCTTGTGTGTGCTTATGTTGCTGGTTCTTTTTTTTTTTTTTAGACCTTTGAAATAACACAGGTCGAGACGCTAATAGAGGTGACCTTAATCTGTCCAGTTGCTAAGAAAATTAACGCTTAACTCCTGGTTTGGTTCTCTTTACTATTGGGGCCTTACGAGGATGACACATGTGGATCGACTTTACTAAAGTATGGATAGAAATAGGAAAAATTGGGGAGTTTACCGATTCGACCAGTTTGACTAAAAGTAAAATTTAATAGTTGAAAGATGCTTCTCCCTGGGAACCACAGAACCTGAGAGAGACATGCAGGAATGATGCCAGTGCAAATTCAGGTCCCGGGCCACCTGTGAGAATTAAAGACCGTGACATGGTTCCAGGTGCCACGTAGATACAGTGGCGCCTTGTGCATAGCTGATTCAAGATATCACAAGATGATATGATGGACATTGAAAAAAGCCTCCTAAGCCTTTCTCAAATGATTTACTTAGTGTTCTGTGTTGTTTCTACTTAATCGTCTAGCCCCTAGTAAATAAACTAATCATTACATTTATTAAAAGAAAACCTTAACCGACATAACCCATAACTATCCCTCAGGTATGTGTGAGTTATGTAGTATTCTCAGACACCACAGCTGAGAACCTCCAGACGTGATGGACGGTGGTAAACAGTGACAATTCGGCAAGATTGGCACTTCATGCACTGCCGTCGATAATGTGTGATACGTTATTCTCATATATACGTGTGTGTACGTATATACGTATCTATAGATACAGAACTTTCTTCAGCATGACTTAGTATTTGGCAACTGACTCAACCCTGAAAGGAAAATGACTATTTTATTAAATTACATGTTTCTTAGACTGAAATAAAATCCCAAGGCGAATCCTTGCTTAAGGATTGTACAAGAAGGAAAGATCTAGATGTTTAGGTGAACTGCTTTCCTCGGCAGCATGAATTTGGGGAGAGACTGGATCACTTAACTAGGAGTCTCTCACTTGTCAGGGTTTCTTTCCTGCCCTTTATTTGTCTTTCTGACGAGGCGTCAGCAGCAAAAGATAATCTCGCTAGGCGGCCTCTCTGTTTGAGATACAAAATCATTTTACCAACCTGGCATTGCATTGTTGCTTTATACCATTACTTAGAAGCTAATAAAGAAGTGGCGTGTCACACACTGATGACCTGGCTGTGAGAAGAGTAAAATCTCAAGAAGCAGCTTGTGCTTTTGTGGGGCAGCTGCTCAGGAGCAAGCGTTTGATCCCAGAAGCTGGAAAACAAGATCCTGTTAGAGCCACAGCCATTCAACATATACATATCTGTGAGCGACCGCCTCTTCCCTGGTTCTCTGTAACTTGGGCTGCTCCAGAGATTGAAGAAACTCTGTTCTGCCTCAAAGCTATAAATATAAATTCTTTCATGGCAAAATGAATCATAGGTCAGAGTATTGTTTGAAAGAATTCAAGCTTCAAAAGGCTCATTAGGACAAAAGGACTTTTTTAAGGTACTTCCAGAAATCTTAAGTTTTGTGGATCTAGAAGAAGCTGTGCACCTGAATCAAACAGACGTGAAGTCTGTTTGAGGCATAGTTATTGAGATTAGCTTTTTAAAAAACAACACAGAAACAGAGACTATCTATTGAAAGGGACCTAACTGGTCAATTAGACTAACTCTTGAGCCATTGGAAATCATTCATTTATTATATAATTATATTAGTTTTCCTAAATAATCAGGGCTGCCTTTTGTTGTGGTCTGAGTATCTGTTTATAAGTCATAAGCACAGTGTGTTTTACTTATAGACTTCTTTGCAGCTGTTTATCCACCAATGCAAATCTGACCCCTGTTCACCGTCTAGACCTGCGTCATCCAATATGGCAGCCACCCACCAGATGTGGCGATTTAAATTTTTGCTAATTAAAGTTAAATAAAATTGTAAAATTCAGTTGTCCAGTGGCACACTAGCCACATTCCAAGCGCTCAGTAGCCATATCCGCTACTGTCTTGGAGACTGCAGAGCCGAGAGCATTTCCGTCATTGTAGAAAGTTCTTTTGGACGCAGCACATGGTAGGGCTCTGGAAATCTCAACGAAGCAACATTGCTTGCTGGAGTCGCTGACTTGTGAAACAGTATACCTTACACTGGGTTTTGTCGATTCCAGCATTAAGGAACAAAACCTCAGCTCTAGAAAGCATGCTGATCTGTTTTAAGTGAATTCAGCATAAGAACAAACTATCATGCTTTCAGGCCCAGTGATTAAATTGAGCAAATAATTAGGGTTTGAAGTATTATAACACAGTCGTATATGGGAAAGAAAAACAATCTGATTTATTTTTATATTGAAGATTATTTTGTTTCATCTTCGTTTTAGAGGCAAATTGAATTTCCTTGGTTTGGCATTAGGGAATAGTCACTTGTGTTCATTCTGGTTTCACTCAAATCTTATCTCCTTCCACACACACACACACACACACACACACACACACACACACACACACACACACGAGAACATTAGCTGAAAGGTCTTTGTGTGGCCTCAGTGGTAAACTATTTGCTGAATCACACACTTCCAGGCGACAGTCTGGCATTTTATCATAAGCAGCCTAGGAACTATAGTCACCAGCCGCCATGTAAGCCGCTTGGCAGACTCAGCTTGATTTTGGAATGACTTTATCTAGGTCCCTTCTTTACCACCCACTCCCCAAAGCCAGTCTCGCTTTTGTTGCTTTCGTTGGTTTCAAAGTGAAATCTCTTTTCTAAATTTCGTGGCTTTATCCCTGGTTATTAAGTAAATTTCTCTTTATGAAAATAGCCTCATTTGAGTAAAAGCACTTGATAACCACAATTTAGCCACATCTTCTAACGAGCGAGCCTATGGCAAAATTTAGAAACTCCCTGTTGATATTTTCTACTTAAATTGCATGCTCAGAGGAAAGATAGCAATTGTTTTTGAAAGGAAATCAAAATATCAAAATATACTTCCGATGGATTAAAAGCAGCCGAGGTTGATCTCATACATTATGAGGTCGGGGAGGACATCCTGTACGAATTTGCTGAGATTACCCTACAGATGTCAAAAGAAGTGACCAGGTGACTTTTAGTGGCAGCAGAAGGAAGAGTTCATGGGGAGAGAGGAAAGATGTTGTGTAAGTGTCCTTTTCACCCACATTTCTGAGGAACTAGATGTCCCATCTGTCACTTCACGGGCATGGAAACTTTTGGCCTCAGCCTGTGCGAAGAGACAGGAAGGAATACTCAGACTGGGGGGAGGGGAGCCCCGGGAAGCAGGGAGGCAGTGCCTTCAACACAGAACAGTTGATGGGGCGCTTCTCATTGTTTCATAAGGAGAAACTTTAAAACTGCAGTGTTGCTACAGACACTGACGGTAAAGTGAAGAATCTGTCCCCAAATTGGTTTCTCATCGATTCTCCCTGGAGTCGAAAGTATTTCTTCCTCTCTCCTCCCTGCAGCATTGCCCTTGCCTTCCCAGAGGCGGCTCGGCCAGCATCAGTGGAACCCGAAGTGGTTGGTGGGACGCGGGTAGTTTGCATGGACTGATTCCGCTTCTCAGCTGGGTGTCGTGGGAAAGGGCTGAATGTATTTCACAAACACGCGCAGACATCTGCAGCCTCTGGTGTCTGGGGACTCTTTCCAGCAGCCCTTCCTCTGGATCTTGTTTCAAGGAGTCCTGTCAGGCTTTCTGGCTTATTTCTGTTTGCATCCGCAGGGCGCAACGCCAGAGGATTTCAGCAACCTGCCACCTGAACAGAGGAGGAAAAAGCTCCAACTGAAAGTCGACGAGTTAAATAAAGAAATTCAAAAGGAGACAGATCAAAGGTAGGGTGGATCAATAGGACTCATTAAGACATTCGAGTGCAGTTTGGAAAGATGGGAAACCCTAAACTAGATTTGAATATCATTTCAGCTGCGTGTGTGTCACCTGGGTCATGATCAGGAGATCTGGTTCACCTTTTAACCCCATAGCAGCCCTTGCTGGTAACAAGGCAGATCACATGGAGCTATGCACGTAATGACTGTTTGTTGAATACTTACAGTGTGCCAGTAAATATTCTAGGCACCGAAGATAAAGCACACTATCTACAAAAGATGCATCTCACTCGTAACGTATAGAAAGTTTGAAAGTAAAGAATGAAAGATACATACCATGCAAATGCCAACCAAAAGACCACTGGCTGACTTCCAGGCCAAAAAAGCCCCCAAACTGTTCAATCAGGAGGAAAAACTTCATGATAATAGATGATTCAAATAACAAATGGCTCAATTCACCAGGAAGATAATAAAATTTTTGATCTGTAGGACCATAATAACATAACCTCAAAACACAAAGATTATGCTATTAACCTTTTTGACATAAAGACAAGAAATACAAATACATTATCAGAGTAGGGGATTTTTTAGCGCATGTCTCTCCATAATTGATAGAACAGGTTGACAGTGTCAGCACAGAATATTTGAGTAATATAATCCATAAAATTGACCTAAAACGCATATATCCTATAATGGCTCGAAACAGTCTTTTTGAGCACACATAGAACCTTTCCCCCAAATTGAGCATATCCTGGTTTTTAAAAAGTTAACCTGAATAAACATCAGAGGATAGATATCATTCAAGGTGTGTTCTCTGTAGCCTGCAATGAAGCTGGAGACCAATCCCAAAATTTCAGAAATTAAGAAACGGAGCTCTAAATAACTCAGACTAACGAAGAAATCATACTAGATATTGGAAAATATATGAAACAGAACCGAATCTTAACCCTCATCCTACATGTCAGGTTATGGGGTGTCACCAAAGCCATGCTTATAAAGGAACACTCATAGCTTTCAATACACATTAAAAACAAAGAACGCTAAAAATCGACGAGCCAAGAATCCATCTCGAGAAGTTAGAAAAAGAACAGCGAATTGAACCAAAGACAATAGAAGAAAGGAAACCATAAAGCACAGGGTCGAAATTAATTAAAAAAAAATACACATTCGACAGCTCTAAAAGTCGATTCCTTGAAAAGATGAATAAGATGAAACTTATGGAGAGAGACCGATCAGGAGAAACAGCAGTAGCTGGAGATGAAGGCCACGAAGTGGAGAGGAGTTTTGTAAAGGTGGATGACCTTACAATATGTTTGTTATGAGATCATTGATACCTCTAACATGTTTCTCGAGCACCTACCGTGTGCCAGATATTACCCCGCCCTGCGGACACATCAAGCGAACCAAGCTTGAGTCCATCCAGCACCTTCAAAGAGCTTCCATTCTAGCAAGGAGAGACAGACAAGAAACAATAAGCATAAGAGCAAATTCTGAAATGTTGGGAAATGATGCATGCTATGGAGAAAAAAAGGAAGTGGAGCTGAGCAAGGGAGCTGAGAGTGCGGGATCGAAAGTTCTGGTAGGGGGACGTGGCCTTGGGGGGAGGGCGGCAGGATGTATGGGCTCAGACGCTCAGACGCGAGGAAGCGGGTAGAGAGGTGGTGAGGACTTGTGGAGATTCTCTTCCTGTTATTTCTGTATTTTCAGTTAAACTATTTCCCATGACTCAAAGTATGGTTTGGTGTGTTGGTCTTGTGTTTTAGAATTGCTTGAGATTTTCTTTTGCTGAAGCTCGTTAAGGCTGGCAGAGGCATTCGCTCTAAACTTTTCACAACTCAGACCCTCCTGAAAGCCCCTTGCAGCCGTTGGGTCCCAGAGATGACCCCAAGCCTGCCGGTGACACTTCTCTAGGGGTTCCTCACTCATGCTGCTGTGGGAGGGCTTCCAGAACACGATCTCGGGAAGTGGGGTTGGGGGGGACCTTGCGAGGTGCAGCTCTGGGGCTCTGTTCCCGCCCCCCCGTCCTGGCTGCCAACCGTGGGTTCGGTTTCTTAATAGTTGAAATGGCGCGTAATAAAATAGCAATGAACTGTGCATCTTCACGAGGTAAACATTTTGCAGCCCACAAAGACCCAGGATGCCAGCTGTAGCTTTGGTTTGCATGAAGAATGCACGCATGGAAATATTTGAGTTTTGTTTGTTTTTACTGTCGTTCGGGGCAGAGGGAGGGGCAGGATCAATTTCTGTGTTTCGCTGGCTGAAGACAAGAGGGAGATGCCATTCAGGATAGAAAACATCTTCACGAGGTAAACATTTTGCAGCCCACAAAGACCCAGGATGCCAGCTGTAGCTTTGGTTTGCATGAAGAATGCACGCATGGAAATATTTGAGTTTTGTTTGTTTTTACTGTCGTTCGGGGCAGAGGGAGGGGCAGGATCAATTTCTGTGTTTCGCTGGCTAAAGACAATAGGGAGATGCCATTCGAGATAGAAACCTGAAGTTTTTGTTTGTTTGTTTGTTTGTTTTTGTTTTTAACCGAAGTTTTAACATCAGTCTCTGGATGGTTCAGATGTTGGTAGCAGCGTTCTGACAGAGAAGTTTTAGAAGGAACACTGACCCCGATATTCTGTTCCAAGCCACACTCAGCCTGTTCGGGGTCCCATTCACATAGAATATAATTGGCTGATGACATTGACCTTTCCCACGTCCTGCTCATGCTTTTTTTTTTTTTTTTTTCCAGAGATGCCATCACAAAAATGAAAGACGTTTACCTGAAGAATCCTCAGATGGGAGACCCAGCCAGTTTGGACCACAAATTAACAGAAGTCAACCAAAATATAGAAAAACTGAGACTAGAGGCACAGAAATTTGAGGTATGAAAAAGCTATCGTTAGAACAAAAAAAAAAAAGAAAGAAAAAGAAACGGAAGAGGGAACGGGTGTCACGAAGCGGAAATGGTTGGAGCAGCAGCATTTCTGTCACTGAGGGAGACACGGCTGGAAATGCCAGCATGCTTCACAGAATTGTGAGACAAGGAAAAATACAGTGTCATCCGCCGTGTGACCTGCTCTTCAGCAGATCCTGTTTAATTGTGTCCCTTTAAAGCGACACCACTGAAAGCCGTGTTTATTCGTAGACAGTGTTGTTTTTAAGCGTTTCACTGAAGTTTGTTCTACTGTGTCTCCTGTTGATAACGGGTATAACTGGGAGTGTACAATCGTCCATCATCTTGGGGATGCAAACGGACGATTAAAACATTGATCGAAATACATTATTGTTCCTTCAGAAGACTCCTTATCAAAAGATATATGTGAAAACCAGTAGGAAACGCCAATGAGAAATCAGTAGAAAGCACTCATTTCTGAAAACACCTTAATAAGTGTTTTAAGGGGAGAGAGGCACACGCAAAGCTCTGGACAAAAGGCTTCTCCTCCTCCCACCACCAAATTTAAAGAGTGCAGAGCCTGGAAAATATAAATTAAGAGCAAACAGAATAGGTTATTTCTATCAACGATGGCTCGAATGTGGCTTTTCTTGTGGTTTTTATAATCTGTCACTAATTTATTAATGTATGAGTTTTTAGAACCTAGAAAGGTCTTTTTCGGATTATTTGTATTCTTTTGCGTTTTGAACAGTGTAACTATTCGAGTGTAACTGAAATACTGTGACTAGTTCAGATGTTACCGAAGATCATTTTATCTTCGATTTCCTTTGTACAAGTTTCTTCACGATTAAAAAGTTACACTCAAAAGAAAAAAAGGGAAGTGTGGCTTTCCAACTGAGTCATTGCTCAAATGTGGCAGTACCCTCATGTTTCCCAGTGTGACCTCATGGTCATAGAAGTTTGCGACCAGAAGGAACTAGAAGTGACTTATCGGAAATCACACAGCTGTTTAGAGCCCAGAGCTTTCTGCCACCCACACCTTGGACAGTTGCCTAAATACGTCTGCTTCCACCTCTCCAGCTTGGGATGACATGGAAGCAGTTGCCTTCCAGTACATTCCGACAGTCGAATGCAAACGCTTTGGAGACCCGGCCCCCCGGCGTGGACCAGAAGGAACTAGAAGTGACTTATCGGAAATCACACAGCTGTTTAGAGCCCAGAGCTTTCTGCCACCCACACCTTGGACAGTTGCCTAAATACGTCTGCTTCCACCTCTCCAGCTTGGGATGACATGGAAGCAGTTGCCTTCCAGTACATTCCGACAGTCGAATGCAAACGCTTTGGAGACCCGGCCCCCCGGCGTGGTCCTTCTCCAATCGGCCTCCATGAGCAAGAGCGGGAATGGGGGG